ATGATGTGATTTATCCCAATCCCAAACCAATTCTCACAAACAAAAATAGTTAAAATAAAGATGATTTTGAAAAAGGTAAATCAATGGTTTTGTTTAGATATTTATAAAAATAAATGTAAGCTGTTGTAAATTTTAAAAAAGAATAGAGATGTTCAGACAATTTCTATAAGGCCTATGTGAATCTGAATTCAACATTTTGCGCTAAAAGACTAAAGACTATATACTTAAGTGATACCCATTTACATCAAACATGCAATAGTTTTGATATGTTTTATAGTTCTTAATTATTGTTTCTTTTTAACTCACCTGTCACAAAGTGACAGGGTGAGCTTTTGTGATCGCTTTTCGTCCGGCGTCAGTCCGTCGTCCGTCCGTCTTCCGTCCGTAAACTTTTACTTTAAATGACATCTCCTCATAAACCACTAGGCCAATTTCATCCAAACTTCACAGGAATGTTCCTTTGGTGGTCACCTTTAAAAATTGTTCAAAGAATTTAATTCCATGCAGAACTCTGGTTGCCATGGCAACCAAAAGAAAAAACTTTAAATGTCTTCTTTTAAAAAACCATAAGAGCTAGAGCTTAGATATTTGGCATGAAACATGTTCTAGTGAGTGTCTGCCAAGTTTGTTCAAATAAAAGCCCTGGGGTCAAAATAGGCCCCGCCCCAGGGGGTCATTGATTTTCCCTATATGCATATAGTAAAAACTTAGAAAATCTTCTTTTAAAGAACCCAAAGAGCTAGAGCTAAGATATTTAGCATGAAACATGTTCTAATGGGTGTCTACCAAGTTTGTTCAAATAAAAGCCCTGGGGTCAAAATTGGCCCCGCCCCGGGGGTTCATTGATTTTCCCTATATGCATATAGTAAAAACTTCAAAAAATCTTCTTTTAAAGAACCAAAAGAGCTAGAGCTAAGATATTTAGCATGAAACATGTTCTAATGGGTGTCTACCAAGTTTGTTCAAATAAAAGCCCTGGGGTCAAAATTGGCCCCGCCCCGGGGGGGGGGGGTCATTGATTTTCCCTATATGCATATAGTAAAAACTTAAAAATCTTCTTTTAAAGAACCAAAAGAGTTAGAGCTAAGATATTTAGCATGAAACATGTTCTAATAAGTGTCTACCAAGTTTGTTTAAATAAAAGCCCTGGGGTCAAATTGGCACCGCCCCGGGGGTCATTGATTTTCCTTATATGTGTATAGCAAAAACTTAAAATCTTCTTTGAAAAAACCCAAATAGCTAGAGTTTAGATATTAAGCATGAAACTTCTTTTAGTGAGTGTCTTCAAAGTTTGTTCAAATAAAAGACCTGGGGTCAAAATTGGCCCCGCCCTGGGGGTCATTGATTTTCTTTATATGTGTATAGCAAAAACTTAAAATCTTCTTTGAAAAAACCCAAATAGCTAGAGTTTAGATATTAAGCATGAAACATCTTCTAGTAAGTGTCTACAAAGTTTGTTCAAATAAAAGCCCTGGGGTCAAAACTGGCCGGCCCCAGGGGTGTCATTGTTTTTAACTATATGTGTATAGCAAAAACTTAAAATTTTCTTTGAAAAAACCCAAATAGCTAGAGTTTAGATATTAAGCATGAAACTTCTTTTAGTGAGTGTCTTCAAAGTTTGTTCAAATAAAAGACCTGGGGTCAAAATTGGCCCCGCCCTTGGGGTCATTGATTTTCTTTATATGTGTATAGCAAAAACTTAAAATCTTCTTTGAAAAAACCCAAATAGCTAGAGTTTAGATATTAAGCATGAAACATCTTCTAGTAAGTGTCTACAAAGTTTGTTCAAATAAAAGCCCTGGGGTCAAAACTGGCCGGCCCCAGGGGTGTCATTGTTTTTAACTATATGTGTATAGTAAAAACTTTAAAAAAATCTTCTTTTAAAAAGCCCAATGAGCTAAAGCTTAGATGTTTAGCATGAAACATCTTCTTATGGGTGTCTACCAAGTTTGTGCAAATAAAAGCCCTTGGGTTAAATTGGCCCTGCAACGTTGGGGGGTTGGGGGGCCTATATACAGGTGAGCGACCTCAGGGCCATCATGGCCCTCTTGTTTAAAAATTTCTTGGAATTTCAAGCATAAGATAAATACAAATCAAGGAAGACATGTTTTAGTTTCATAAAATTATAATTTCTACATAATCTTAACAATATCTGATCAGCATTCACTTTTCTAGAAGGGGTTTAGAGATTTTAACAGGAAACAAGGTTATGATCAATTTATAAATTAAATTTCAACAAATCAAATAAAATAAAAAAAATACATCCTGCTTGTGACAAGCTCTAACCCATTTAACCATAAAATTTTAAATGATTCAGAAATTATAAGATTTAAATAATTTAGTAATAAAGTTGGAAATAAAACACCAAAAATCATTTTGGAATTTGTCCTGTTTCACTGTTTAAGGTTTCAAGAAAGTTCAAAAATTTCATATTTTTATCATTACGTCTGTTATGAAGATAAAGTTGAGCTATTATGATTGCTGCAACATTGTTGTAATGGTAGTCATCTTGCAATAACTTTAATGTAGCCCATTATTCAAACATTTTAAAAGGTACCATGTCATGAAACTTGGTATACTTGCTTATCATGACAACCTGCAGTTGTACAACAAGGGGCATAATTCTGAAACCTATCTTTCCAAAGTTATACCCCTTTTTAACTTAGATTTTTGTCAGAATAGCTTTTAAAGTAGAATGATTTTAAAACTATGAAAAGTATCAACATAAAACTTGGAATACTATTTTATCATGACAAGGTATAATTGTTAGACAATGGGATTAATCTTTAGAGTAATGCCCCTTATTAACTTACAATTTTGTGAAAATTGCTTCTTAAGTAGAATGATAAAACTATGGAAGGTATGTAGATGAAACTTGGAAAACCTTTTTCATCATGACAAGGAACACTTTTTAGACAATCAGGGCATAGTTCTTAAAGCTTTATTGTTGGAATTATGCTCCTTTTTAACTATATATAACTTTAAATATTTTACCTTATTATTTATTTGAGAGTGGATAATTTGATAGGATCTTTTGTCTAACATGTCATTGTTGAACTTAAGGGATTTTTGTCTGAGAGGGATTCTTTTTTGTCTGTTTGTCATGTTTGTGTGCCCATCTTTTTAGTCCATAACAGATGCAGCAGTGCAAGTATAATAAAGGTTTCACAACCTGTTTCTAAGGAGCCCTGAGTTAAATTTGACAGGGTCTGCCTTGATATGTGAATATTACTATATTATGCTAATATAGCATTTTCAGGTGACATTTTCTTTGTTTGCTCTTCATAAGAATTGATAAAAAAAAGAATAATATCATCTAATTCTTTGTCTGAGAGAACGTGCTGTCTTAAAGTTGTGTTTGCTTAGAGAATTAAGTGTGTAAATAAATATTTTACTCAAATTTGCGTGACTTATGGCAGAAATTCTTAATAATTTTAAGTTTAAAAATATCTTTAAATATTTCTTTATCTCTTTTTGAACTAGATTACCATTTTAGGCTGACATAAGTCTTTGTAAACAGTGCATTGGTTAAATGAACGAAAGTAATTAAAGTAAAGGAACTGTGATTATACAACAATACCTTTAAAGGGGGGTGAAATTATTGTTTGCTCTAATATACCCCATTTGAAAATTTTTTAAACACTTTCTTTTATATTTTCATTTTTTTCTATATATGTTTATTTGCTGTAGGAAGTTTATTGAAGGGTTGTGTCCATGTTCCGTTACCCTGACGGCTCTCTTAACATTAAACAAGTGCCTTGGTAAGGGATGAAAAGCATGCCTGACACATGAAATCAGACTTTGACGGGGGAAATGTGTTTGATTTGGAATTTTGTGGTAGTTTTCAACTGTGATCTTTGTAATAGATAAAAAAAATGTAAAAATAGAAATAAAGTGTGTAAGAATTTATGGTAACACCATTGTTATACAATATAATATAATGAATCATTTTTATAAAATATTAAAGCATAATAGATGTATCTCGGCTGTTGGATTTATATATGAAAAGTGATTGTATTTGGAATTTATATGAGTTTGAAAATGATTGGACATTTAATGATGAAATAGAGCAAATAAGCAGTGATATTTGAGTTAGATTGGAACATAACATGAAAATCTTATCATCATTGAAAATAACGTGATATGAAATAATATGATTTAAAAAGGAAAAGAAAATTTGAAGATTTCTTGTTCTGATTATCAATTATCTTAGTTTAAGTAAACTTCAAATATTGAAAATTCAGTTAGAGTATTACATGACATATTAGATTTAATGAAATAATAATCTTTATAAATTGGAGGAAAATTATATTTGCAGTGAACTTAAGAAAACAGGCTGTGAAGTGAAAATCATTGAAAAGAAATCCCATGGGACACTGTCAATGTTTGGTTTTTAATTGCAACTTATTTGTTTATGAAAATCTTCCATTTATCTAGGGACAGATTACAAAGTGAAAGTAAATTATTATGATGTGAAAAAATGTAAAGGAAGCCTTGAAATCTACATTATTATGTTAAACAGTAGTTAGTACCGTATAATGATGTGAATTGAATTGAAATATAATTTTATTGAACAAAAGATGAAATATTATGCAGCGGATAGAGAGGCACACAAAATAAATGTTTGGTAATAAAATGTTTATGACTGACAAAAGCATCTAAGAAAGCTTTAAGGCTTAAGTTTGTATGACAATACTAAAAATTGCCAACTCAAAAATACGCTTACTTTACAGTAAGTTTATTCCAATTTCTTAGACAAATTTTTTACAACATTCTGAATATAACACTGGCTTGTTCCTTGTCCAATAATGAAAGGATGAATTTTTTTATGTACATATCAGCAATTTAATCATAATATCTGAGTGACTTTAAATATGACTTGCAGATACAGACTTCATGATAATTGAAAAATTTCATAGTAATTAATTGAGATAAGATCATGTAATTGGATTACATATGGGATTTTTGTATGCTTCACCCATATCTTCGTATTTCATGCAATATAGATGATAACAGATAAGCAAAGTAAAAGGAAACCTTGGAAAAGGCGTCACACACATAAAAAAAAAACAAGGTCAGTAAAGCATTGACTAGGCTCTTGATAAATCCGCCGAAATTGAAGTGAGGATTTGTATTTTCATCTGATGATAAGTGGAATATTAATAAACATTGATTGATGGAAGATAGACTGGTAGACAGTATAACAAAGACGACGGTATCTTAACAACGGCAACAACTCTTCAATGTGAGCCTATGATGTAATGCGTAAATCGGCCTGTCTTCATAATGTCCTTTAAAGCCAAATAAAGTTAAGTGGTTGGTATTTTTCATGATGTCTCAATTATTGGAGAGTGATTTAAGACCACTGTTTTCTTTGAAGTGCTTTTAGAACAAAATTGTTGAAGATTATATAGAAAGTGTACTGTGAATAAAGAAACATTGATATTTAATAATAAAGGAGGCAATAAAAAGCAGGTTGTATTGAAATAAATTATTAAAAATGAGCCAAAGAAGATTATCTGATTTGTGATGCATGCTAAATTGAATCCATGAATTACAAGTTTAACAGTTTAGGACAATATTCTTCTGAAGACGTCAGTCTTAACTTAAGTATTGTAGGATCATAATTTCGCGGTAAGAAAGATATTTTCCACAGAGTTAATTTTGATTTTAAAAAAAGAAATAAAGAGAAAGCTTCAATGGCACAAATTAAGGAGAAAGAAAATGAGCTTCCACAAATTGGTGACTTTTCTTGGGGAAATAAATCAAAAAGGAAGAAGAGAAGACCTCTTGCTTCAACTTCAACTGTTAATGGATTAACATCTGTATCGGTCCCTCAGCGTGCAGAGATCAATGACCCAATATTCCAGTTGAAAGGTCAGAAGATGACCACACAACGTGTTGTAGATGAGCAGCTAGCTAACACAATTGCTATGGTATTGTTGTCTGAATCAACTTTCCACATTTCTTATGGTCCAAATGATGAAGTTCACTTGAAGGAATTGTATACAAGAACTACACAAAGTTATATCAAGGATAAGTCTGAAATAATAAAATATGAAACTGGATTTAGAGTAGATACAGAATATATTTCAGATGAGAATTTTGTAAATTTTCCAGAATTTCAGAGAAGTTTGACATGTACTGGAGCAAGTCTTTCACCATGCCAACATGATTTCAGGGTATCTAATTATTTTAATCCTATTTTTTGCAGCAAAACTTTGACATTAATTCTTATTTTGTTCTTTGCAGAATTTTTTGAATGGAGCTTAACACATGAATAATAGTACAATTTCTATAGTTTTACATTGAAACACAATTTGACTTAATTTAAAGTTTCAGATCTACTAATTTCTTACATGTAGATGTGGAGCATAATTTAGAGGCTGATTTTAATCAGATTGCATTGAAACAATAACAATTTGATTCATGAAAGTTATATGGAACTAGCTAATTTGAAAAGCATTTTAATCACAGAAGGAAATTTATATTGTTTTGCTATAAAAACAAAACTATTTCTTTAATTGATGTTCCCCACAGATTTATAATAATATTATATGGAATATTGAACAGCAGTTATATTATGAGTTTTCTTGATCTACGTAGCTTTAAACTGTTCAATTTTAAATATAATCATACACAACAGTCAGGTCTCCCAGACTTTCCTGATGAATTCTTCATCAAAATAACAGTAAATCTGTATTATGATGGAAGTTTTGAACTATTTTAAATTGTTTTTTTTTCACAATAAACAAGGGTATTAGAGTTGCGCTATTAGAGTAAATGTGAAAAAATACCTAGGGTACATTAGCTATATAGAATTGTAATGAAGTTTTATATGATTTGTATGAATTTGATCGATACTCATGTTGCAATCACAAACACAGGGAAGCGTTTGTTATGTGGAGTCAAAATCTTGTATCTTCCTTTTGAAAATACGCTGATTTATAGTTTTCCCCGTAGTGTTGTGTTAAAATGCTGTATAATTTATAGGCATTTTGTACAGTTCTACTATTTTATTTTTTTCTGTACATCTTTAAGATCCAGCTTATGTCTTTTAAAAGTGTTACATAAAATGAAAATTTATCAGGTAAGAGAAGATTTAAAAACTTAAATCATTTTAGAAATCAGGTATACTGCTTTATCATATAATAACTGCGATGATTATGCCTGTACAATGACATTTGACAAATTAAGGGTACGTCTTTACCCAGCTTGCATAGTTTTATCTCACAGATCTTCGTCTATTGTTATAACTGATAAATGGATCTAGTTTGATCCCGGAGAAATTTGTCACTTAAGCTACCCACTGACTGAATTATTAACATTCTTTGGCAGCTTGGTGATTATGTTTTTGATGCATATGAGAGTGAAAATGATTGTAAAAGAGAAGAGAAGAGATAATGGAAAAAGGGGAGATAATTTACACGGCTATTGTCACATGGCCCACGGAGAACAAAAACGTGAATTGTAAAGGTGACAGTAATGAAAAGAAGACAATATTTTATTCCTGCCTCTCTAAAGTCAATGTGCTGTCAGTTAATTACCGTGAACTTTGCTATCACTCAGTTTTTCCCTTACCGTTCAACTTACTTTCCAACATTTTCCCAAATCTGGCATACTGCATTTTCATCCTGTTGTTCGGTCATTTACATTTTATGTCAGTGAGGCAAATAAATGCATTCAATATTGAAAGCATACCCACTGATAATAAAGCCATTTAGAAATAATTATTGACAACTTTTCTGGAGACAAACTTGAACCTGACTGGAAACTTTTTTTTTTTTTTTTTTTTATGCATATGAGAGTGAAAACAAGTTAAATGTTGATGCTGCACATCAAAGACGCCGCCAAATGATGTGAACAGTCAATCAGCATTGAAAATCGTTCTCTATTACAGTTGAATATCCGAAACAAAAATCAATTTTTTCTCCCATGTTCATGGTATGTGCTGGTTGTTTAATAATTAAGTTGCATATTTTTGTGTAAAGAAAGGAGAACCTAATGCATAAATTCACAAAGTAATGCCATGTCTGAAATTCTGAAATGTTTGTCTGTTGCGACAAAGATTGAAATGTCTGGTCAAAGCAAAATAAATTAGATAACAAGACAAATCGAATTGAAATGATTGGTATACTTAAAATAAATTCAAAACAATATGTGCCGAGAATATGTCCATTTAAATATTTGTATGAATTGCATAATGCTCAAATGATTTTTAGGACAAACTGTTCTGCAGTGATCTCCCCTTACTGGCCGTAGCGTAATAGATTTGGCGTACTTTCGTAATGGTTGATGGAGAACTGCCTCTCTGATAGTGGGCGTGGTTTAGGTTTTGTAACTTTCAATTTAATGATTCGACAAGAGATATTTATCAAAGTTGTCCTGGTTCCCTACCACCCCATCAACGAAGACTAAATGCTAGCATACGGAGCATCATCTTAAATTTGGCGCAATTTAAGGCAGAGCCGAACTTCAACAGAGGCGGAGCAAATGAAGTGAGTGACACTGCCTCAGTCGTGACCTCTCTCAACGGTAAATTTTTAGAATGATCGACTATAGACTGGCTCATTGGCACGTTATTTATTATGTAGATAAAATTAGATAATGATAAAAAGGAATATGATATTCAAACATGACACTATCACTTCAGTTAAACATTTATTCTAATCCTTTAAAGCTCTGTGACATGTTGTACATCAGAAAAGCTATTTTTATTAGAAAATTTGAAAACAGTGTGATTTTGTTAAAACAAAAAAAATTATACAAAATCAAGTCTAAAATTTTCCCGTTTCGTGAAGAACGATATCCAACCCTATTCCTGATGTGTCGTGAATTAGCTGAGAATATTCTATTGGAAAGGGTTTTAGATTCTCCGTTTCAAATATTTGAACTATGATAATTGCTGTTTCATTAGTTGTCATTTTTATTGTTGTGCAACAGCTTAAACATAGCCCATTTCTCAATCACTTGTAAAGATATCTAAAAGAAACTTGGAATACTTATATTCTTATCATAGCTAACATAAATAACTCTTCTTGAAGTTTATCATTGTGATTTCTGGACAGGATGTTTCCAGTGTATTTCCATTGTTTTGAGAACACACTGACTCTAGTATATCAGCACATTTTAAGCTTGACTATTCAAAGTATAGTGGGCTATCCTACTCATCCTGTCATTTGCATAAAAGTTTGGTTAGTTTTATGTGCATCTTCTTTTACAGCATCATATCTTAGCAACCAATAAACTTTGCTTTAACTTAACATACTCATTTAAGACCATAGTAGGTCACTACCCAAGGCCCTTAACTCTAGCATGGATTTTTATAGAATTGTGTCCTTTTTTGAACTTAGAAAAGTCCTGCATCTATACAACATTAATTATCAAAACTACTGAAAGTTTTCACATGAAAGATAATGCATGTTACTGTCACTGTTCAATGCCCATAACTCATGACATAGATTTTGACTGCATTATGGCCCTTTGTGAGGCAAAAACCTTTGGAAAAAAAAAAGGCATTTGAAATACTATGAAAAAGTTGTCCTTTGACCAAATACTTTGTAACTACATCATAAAGTTCTTCATAGACTTAGGAAACTTTACTGTATAGATTAAATTATCAAAATAATTTTCTTTAAAATAATTTTCTAAGTGTCACAGGGTTAGAAAAATATGCAGCCTGACCTGGATTCCAAACCGCGACCCTCAGAATACTGTACTGCGGCTATACTGACTAAGCTATATGGCCGCTTACACATCCTCCCCTAAAGAGTGAAGTTCTGAACCGTGAAATACTCCCCTGCTATATTGAAATTTGTGCTCGAATTTCACAGAATTACAGAGCAATGTGAATTAAACTCTGAGCTATATTTGTTCACGGTCCCATGTTGGGTGCAAAATGTCATAGGGTGAGAAAAATGTGCAGCCTGACCGGGAATCGAACCCGGGACCCTCGGAATTCTGTACCGCGGCTGAGTTATCTAGCTGCTTACACAACTTCTCTCCTAAATAGTGAACAGTTCTGAACCGTGACATAAGTACAGTGTACTTAATTTAGTTATAATATTAAAGCATGTCAAGCTAAATGTTTACATTTCTTTTATTTGATACATTTAAAACACAATACAAGACAAAACAAAACAAACAAAAAACATTTTTATTTTGTACAAGTCATGTCAAAGTATGAAAAGCAATTGTTTTTATCCTGTTATAAATGAAGAATTGAAAATAACAAATTTCAATTTGTTTTTTTCTACACAAGTATTTTTTTTATTAAATTTTCAAGACATAGTTGTCATGTGAAAATAAGACTTATATGGATGTAATATGTAATATAACATTTTTATAGAAAAAGAGTTCATGAAATATTTAAATCACTATCGTAGAATTTAATAAAACCACTGCATCTTCTTTCTCCCTTTGATATGTTGAGATTATCATGTGTTGAGTAGGGGGATTACATCAAGATCATTTATAAGGATATATGGACAATTATTTACAAAGATACACAATAGAAAATGTAGATATAGAATACGAAAAAGCTTGCATTGCATACCCAGATATTCAATCAGATCTTAGCATTGAGACAGGCCTGATTTAATGATAAAATAAACAAAAAGAGCGCCCATACCACTTGGTCGCCAACATAGTTTTTTTGACCAGTTTAAGGAAAAATTAAATAAAAAAACTGAATAAGAAATTGAGCATTGATTAGCTGTCAGTGAAAGTTGTTTAGTGCAAGTTGTTGATATGACAAAAGAGTAATGATTTAACTTTAAACTTGTGTTTTATTATTAAAATACAGACCCTCCGAGAAGTGATTTTTGATGATACAGTTGAGATTATTAAGTTGTGATATAAGTGCTGCATGCGCATGAAAAGATTGTTATCATTTCTTTTATTATATTTATTTTTTTATGGATCTAATCAATTTATT